CCCTCTCCCAGCTCATCTCACCAGCCCTTCTCATCTCCCCGTCCTTCCGGGGGACCCTCGAGCCTCACCCAGCTCAGAACAGCAGTTTGCTCCAAGGAGGGTGTGGCTGAGATGCTGGAAGACGCCTCATGTGCCCAGAAGCCTCCGCGGGGAGCCTGCACCCTAATCAAGAGAGGCGACCTGAGTCACGCAGCCGCTCTGTGTCCCAGTCAACAGCGAGCCTGGTCCCAGGGCAGGACCCTGCCACCGGCTGGGGAAGGAGACCCCAGGTCCCCGGGGGTGCTGGTCTGGAGGCAAAACCCCCGACAAAGGGGATTGCGTCGGGCTGTCTTTGCCCCCTCTCCCCCGTGGTTGGGGCAGTGGGGGGATCCAGGTCTCCCACCTCCAGGCCGGGGCTGTGTGTAGAGGACGCACGTGCATACGTGTGTAACTCTAACTCCCTCTCACGCAGGCCTCTCCCACGCAGAGGAATCACGGGCTTTGAGGTGACACCAGGCGCCTCCAGAGGAGCTGGGGCTACAGGCGAGATGCCCCTGTGGCTGAGTTAGAGCACCCAGACCAGGCCGTCCCTGCATGAATGGGGAGACTGAGGACCAGGGGGGAAGGCACTTTCCTAGGCCACCCAGCGGAGAGTGCCAGCCGGGGCTGTCAGGATCCACGCAGCCCCTCACCCGAGGGCTCACTTGAGAGCCGGCTTATCTCACAGCCAATCAGCAAACTCGTTCCCAGGGCCCTTCTCCTCTGACACCAAGGTCATGCCGGCTCTGCAGCCACGTGAAACCTGCCTCTCCCTGACAATGTTCAGGTTTGGGGTCGGGGGATGGGGTCCCAGACCCTGGATTCTTTCAGGGAGGGGAGAGGCCTTCCCGCCCGGACAGGCTCTGCAGCGGCCCGCCGTGCGGAGGCGCGGGGTAGGCCAGGGCCCTCAGCGGCTGGGAGACGAGCCACAGACGGGAGGCAGGAGAGCCTCGCGGTTCCAGCAGGCGACTCCAAGGCCACAAGTCCCCACTCCAGGGCCCTGTCTGCTCGTCTGGACCCGGGAGCTGGGGCCCTGCCTGACCGCCCCCAGGACCCAGGAGGGTCCCCTGGGCCCTCTTCCTGGTCTGTGTCCGGCGGGAGGATAGGAAGAAGGGGAGGGGCAGCGAGAGCCCAGCGCGAGCCTCGGAACCCGACCCTTCCCCGGACCGCCGGAGCCGGTACCCCCTCTTCCAGCCCCGCCTCTGGGGACGGCTGGCGGCGGCGGGGGGCTCTGGGGTCGGCGGGGCGGGGCCAGAGGAAGGGGGCGGACGCGCGGACGCCGAGGCCCGCGGGCTAATGGGAGCGGCCGCGTGCGCCCCGGGGCGCTCGGTTCCCAGCGCGCATCTGCCCGGTCCCAGCCGAGCCTGGCTCCGGCGCAGACCTCGCGGCGTGGGGTGTCGGACGGGCCTCTGACCTGGGATCCCGGGCGCCGGGCGCAGCTGCGAGGAGGCCGGGGGTTGGGAGGCGGGGAGGGCCGGAGTGACCCGGGGTGGGGCCGGCTCCACCGAGCAGCTGGTGCAGCGAGGGCCCCGCGCTCCTGGGCGCTCAGGCTCTGCGGTCGGGACTGGAAAGCTTAGTCGTGTGCTTGTTATGACGTCCCGGGGACATCCCTGCCCGGTGCGGTCTGCGGTCGCTGTGCGGAGTCCCCGAGCCCCGGGAGCCAGACGTTAAATAGCAAATAGAAAAATCCCAAAGACAGAGACTTTAAAACAACGGGGAAAAGTTGTTTCCTGCCTTTTGAACAAGGGACCCTGTCAATCGTGCGGCCCACTCCGCCCAGGGGGAGCCTTAGGTCTCTGCTTTCAGAGCTGCCCCCCTTATCCCCACACCCAGAACCCCAAACACAGTGTCCCCCTCGGGTCTCTGCCCGGACGAACGTCCTGCAGCCCCTCCCTGGCGGTTTGAATGAACAGGCCAGAAGAACAGGTGAGCAAGCATTTACTCTGCAGGTGGGTGCTAGAAGACCCCAGGGCCCCCCAGCCTGTGCTTCCATCCTTGCCCCAGCTCTTAGCCTTAAACAGGTGAAGTCAAACTGCTGGCCTTCCTTCCGGTTCTTTCCCCTAAAGCCAGGGCGTGGGTGCAGCTGTCTGCTGGCCGCACAGGGGGCCAGGGTGGGGGGGAGGGGTGGGAGAGGCAGGGACAGCAGGAAGGAGGGGGAGAAGGGACATACAGAAGTAGGCACCTTGGGAGAGAGGATGCAAGAATGGAGGGAGGCGAGTTCTGCTTGGCTGTTATTTTCAAGTTTAAATGAGAAAAGACACTTGAGAGCCCCGAGCGGAGTGTCTGGCTTGTAGGGGGTGTTGGGAAATCTTGGTTTCCCCTTCTGAGCCCCAGTTTCCTCCTGAGTTGTGCACAGATGAGCTGCTTCCAGCAGAAGGACTTTGGAAGTTATAAAAGGGCCCATGGGTGACGATCCTCACACACAGACCCTCGGGGCACAGGGACGGAGCTCCAAGAACAGATGGATTGAATGGGATCCCTGTTCCCCCCCAAACCTGTCTCCTGGGGGACAGAGCTGGGCAGAAGGGAGCGAGGATGATTTAAGAGGCCAGGACAGACCTTAGAGTCGGGGGGACAGGTGTGGCAGGACCCCCGCATCTGGCCGGAGAACGCCCAGCACTGTGTCCAGCAGGTCTGGGGCATGGGTTCTAGGGCGGCCGGACGCCCCAGCCTGCGGATTCACCCCTTTCTCTCAAGAAAGGAAGCACGAGGAGCACCAGGAGCCACATCTACGGAGAGAAAGGGTGCAGGGCGGTCAAGCCCCAGTGTCCAGGAACAGCCCTTCCGAGCCTTTCCCCCCCTGCCACAGCCACAGCCACAGCCACGGCCACAGCCGGGAAGTGCTGCTGCTGCCCGCGGCAGGGGTGTCTTCGCTAGAGTCTCCCCCACTGGAAAGACCAAGGGAGCTGCAGGAAGCGTGGACCTGGCTGCCGCCCCGCACAGGCTCAGAGCCAGCTGTGCCCCTGCGACCCTGGCCTTGAGGGGGTCCACAGCACTCCAGTCCCAGGAATGACCACAAGAGGAGGCTGGGGCAGGCGGGGGAAGAGGGAGGCCTGCCCTCCTGCCCTCTGAAGACCCCCTCACCTGGAGAGGCATCTGCCGAGGGCCTGGCAGGGACTTCAGGTTCTTGGATCTTGGTGCCACCTCCCTCTGATGCCATCTGACTCTGGCTTATTGTCACCCCATATTGGAGCCACACCAGGCCCTCCCCCAGGCCTCTCACCTCTTCCCTGTCCCACGGAGGCCCCGGAAGCCTGGCGGCAGGGAAGGAGACCCCCGGTTTCAGGGTGGGGAGCGGGCTATGCCTGGAGACCCAGGAAGCCCGCATAAGGATGTCAGGGGGCTCAAGCAGAAGGATGGATTGGGACGTAGGGATACGGGGTTCTCCGGGTGCCAGCAGCCGGCCAAGGTGATTGGTTCGTTCCTGAGGTGCCGGGGAATGCTCTTCACTCCCTCACTGCCCAGCCAGACTGCCGAGGAGAAAGGTCGGCCCTCCCCTGCCACGTGGGCCCTGCCACGGGCTGAGAGTTCTGTCTGGCCGCTGCCTGGGCTGGGTCCCCTCCTGCTGCCTCCTGTCCAGCATCCTCACTTGGGATCACCTCCCGTGCTCAGCCGTACTCCGTGCCGCGCCACCCCGGGCAGCAGGGGTAAATCTCTCCTGGTCTGGGTGTAGCCCCCGTCATGCCTGAACCCTGTCCCCTCTGAGCATGAGTCACTGCCCCAGGCACCCTTGGCTTCCTTCCCTGGAGACCCTCGTCTTCTGGTTAGTGGCCGGGACCCCCTGGGGGGTGATGGCCCTGTTCTCACCTGCAGCCCCTCCCGGCCGAGCCTCTCTGTCTCCTCATTCTGCTGTCCCCCGGGATGAGGGCTCAGTCCCTCCCTGGCGACCCAGCCTCAGCACTAGGCTTAGGGACACAGCCACCCAAGTGGGGGAGGCCACACCTGCCATCGACCCGCACGTCGGGGTCAGGCTCTGGGAAACTGGGTGGGAATTGAGGCAAGAATCCCAGGCCCGTGACCTTCAGCACCTGCCCGATCCAGGTGCAGAGCAAACATGGAGGAGGAAGGACCACAGGTCCCGGGAGCCACCTGGCCCTTGGAGCAGTGTCCCTGTTGACTCAGACGACGGCCCGAGACACTGGAGCCTCTCTTATCTCTCGGCCTCGGCCAGTCACTCCCTCTCCTGCCCTGCCCAGAGTGGCCTTTCGGCTTCCCAGAAGGGCCGTCTTCCCAGCGGAGCTGGTCAGTGGGAGAAGCAATGTCTTGTGGAGTGGGGGCGCCCCTAAAGCAGAGGCGGAGGGACCAACGCCCATCAGGGTTAGAAAGCCACCTGGGTTGTTACCTCATGGAGTAGCTCCTGCTAGGCGCCCCTCTGTCCAGGCTCAGGCTGTGCCCAGAGCCGCGGGCCTTGCTGGGCCAGCCTTTAAATGCAGCCAACGTGTGCCAAGGACTTTTTTTAATGGTAAAATACACATAACATAAGTTTTACCACTGTAACCGTTATACATGTACAATTCAATGTCACTTAGCACACGCACCATGCCGTGCAACTGTCACCACCATCTGGCTCCAGAATTTTGTCATCCCCTAAATGGAAACCCATCCCCTTCGGCAGCCCCTCCCCACCAGCCGCCAGGCGCGTTTGGATGACAGCAGTTTAACGATGTGTCGTGAGCATGTTTTTACGTGATATAAAAACCTAATGAGAAAATTTCTCTCTTGTCTTCATGATGAAAACAATTACTTTTTTTAATTACAAACATGATATGTTTCAAAATAGAAGATGCCGATATTTGGAAAGTTATGAGGAAGAAACTAAAACCACCCACATCCCACCCAGTGTTGCCCACCGCTCGTCCAGACGCTTTGCTAAAATGACCATCCTGCATCTTCATCTTTGCACACTTGTCACCAAGCTGGCAAGTGACATGGCTGAAATCCGGAAGTTCCTGCCCTGGAGGAGCCCCCAGCACTGACAGACGACGCCCCCTTGCAGGGGCACAGCCTGCATCTCTTATGGCCCCCTCGGCAGGGGTGAGAGGCAGCTGGCCCCGGTGGACCAGTGCTGGGGTCAAGGTCACACCCCAAGCCCATGTACCAGCCGCCAGCCTCCTCTCAGACAGGGCCCCCCAAGCGTATCTACATGGCCCACTCACCCATTGAGGGAGAGATCCAGCCATCCCCATTTCCACTGAGGCACTCACTCATCCATTAATTCACTCATTCCTTCATTTATTAAAAAATTTCTCTAGTTCTGCTGGATGCCTAGACCTGAAATTACAGAAACATAGGACCAACACAGGCCCTGATGGGGCTCAGGCCAGTAGTTACTCTAGACCATGGGCAAGGCTGGGAAGGGGTCTGACCTGTTCCCGGGGCCGGCCCAGGCCACCCTCCACTCCCCCCCCCGCCAAGAGAGTGAGAAGAGGTGCAGGCCGTACCCCCAAGAGGACCACATCCACCAGTGCCCGGGAGGCTCCTCCGGGGCAGCCGGGGCGCCTGCTCTGGGGACCCCAGGAAAGCACACCCACGTTTTGGCCTCTCCTTCCTGCTCCTTGAATCCTATTCCAGCCTCAGCCCTCTGCTCCCCTGGACCCAAGCATCGCCTCTATTGAGACAATCCCCTGATTCCTCTCTCAGCCTCCAGCTCCCCACGCAGCTGCCTAAGGGGCATTTCTTCCTGGAAGATGCCCAGGCATCTGTAACTCAAGCCCAACCAGAGAAGGCACCCTGGGGGTGGGGGGGTCAGTAAAGGCTGTCACCTGAATGGTACCCAGGTGAGCAAATATCTCCCTAGAGGAGAAGAGATATTTGCATCACATCTAGGTCACTTGAACCGGTTAATTCAGAGAACAGACCCTGCCTCACGAGAGAAGTTGGGTGGGTGGGTGGATGGATGGATGGATGGATGGATGGATGGATGGATGGATGGAAGGAGGGATGGATGGAGGGAAGGATGGGTGGATGGGTAGATAGGTGAATAAGTGGATGAGTGGATGGACGGATGGATGGAAGGACGGATGGATGGAAGGATCAGTGGATGGATGGATGGATGGATGGATGGATGGATGGATGGATGGATGAATGGAAAGATCAGTGGATGGATGGATGGATGGATGGATGGATGGATGGATGGAAGGACGGATGGATGGAAGGATGGGTGGATGGGTGAATGAGTGGATGGATGGATGGATAGATGGATGGGTGGGTGGACCGGTGGACGGATGGAAGGACGGATGGATGGAAGGACAGGTGGATGGACAGATGGATGGAAGGATGGGTGGATGGATGGAGGGAAGGATGGGTGGATGGGTAGATGGGTGAATGAGTAGATGGATGGATGGATGGATGGATGGGTGCATTCAATCCTGGGTCTCAGATAAATTCCCTTTGGAACCACCCACAGTATCACTGGTGAGCTCCGGTGCAGAAGGACAGAGCTGGGGGCTGTGGCCCCAGAGTACAGCTGACACTGAGATCCTCACTCTCTCTTTCCAAGCCTGGAACAGCAGCAGCCCCAGCTCAGCACTCTGGATGTCAGGGCTTGGGGACACCCTCTCCCCTGAAAGCCACATTGCCCATGGTCAGTCAGTCCCATCCCACAAAAACTCTGTCACTCTGGTCCCTCCTCAAGCTCTCTAGTCAGGCAGAGACGGCACAGCGAGGCACTCCGGAGGCCTCTCACTGCACCGTGCCCTAACATCTTCCTGCTTCATTCCCTAGCGGTCAGGGGGGTCCTGGACGCTGAGAGGCCGGAAGACAAGGTCAAGCTCACATCAGGGTGGGTGGAACCGAGGCTGGAGCAGTGAGCTCTGGGAGGAGGACGATGCCGACTCCTCCAGGTGACCCAGGCTGGAGGCCAGCAGGGCTGGCTCAGGGGATCCTCTGGGCTTGCTGCGTGATCCAGGGCACAGAGGTCTGGACGTGAGCATAGACCCCAGGAATGTCACACAGGGCACAGCGCAGCCCCAGCTGACCACTCCCACCAAGCGCCTAGAACCCATCACTCTGCAGACAGAGGGCGGCAGCCAGGGCGGGGTGGGGGTGGAGACAAGATGGGCTCCGTAGCAGGAGTCAGGCCCTCACTCCCGCACACAGCGTCTCGTGCTGGATGATCTTCTGTCCTGGATGGTCTTCCTGACTCCGCAGCTGTGACTGGAGGAGTGTGGTGTTGCTGGTCGCGGGCGGCCTCTCCGTCACCTGCATGCACACCTGCTGCAGGCAGGAGGGCAGAGGCAGTGGCCTTGGGGTACAGAAGACACCAGAGGCTGGTGGTGCAGAAACCCACCGCCCAACCACCCGTCAGTCCCCATCTGGAGGACAGCCTCTTACACTGCCCTGTCCCCGAGCCTCGGCCTCAGGGGCCGGCGGGGGTCTACAAGGAGGTCATCTGGTCTCTTCTTGGGGAGTGGGGTGGGACCCCACAAAGCCTGAAGTGCGAACTTTTAGACAAGATGCTCTTCTGTAATTGTCAGGTTGGACCTTTATGTAAGGAAGCTCCCCAGGGCTGACAGGGGCAGAAGGGGGCATGCTCGCTGGGGCACCTCAGCAGGAAGGTGAATGTGATGGCACAGCCGCGTCGTTGTACACCCGCCCAAACCCACAGAACGCGCAACACAGGAGCAACGTAATGTCAGCTGTGGGCTTTAGCCAATAAGACTGTATCGATGTGGGGGCATCTCTGGTAACAAATGCCCCACACTGACGAGAGATGTTCCTAACAGAGAAAAGAGCGTGTGGGAACTGGACTTTCTGTGCACAATTTTCTATGAACCTAAGAATGCTCTAAAAAAATAAAATCTATTTTAATTTTTTAAAAATTTGTTAGAAAACAAAGAAGGTGTAAGACGGGCTCAAGGCAAAGAGGGAGAGCTGAGGGAGGTGGCAGGTATGGAGGTGACGAGGCGGAGTCGGGCGGCACAGAACAGGACACGGAGGGAAGGTGCACACACCGTCAGAGGGAGCCGGCGGGGCCGTGACG